AAAAAGCAGACTTATTAGATTAAAACATAAGGAGCTGGGCTGTAGCTCAGCGGTGGAGCGCTCGCCTAGCACGTGTGAAGCACTGGGTTCCATCCTCATCACCACATAAAAATAAAATAAAGATACTGTACTCACCTAAAACTAAATAAATAAATAAAACATAAATAGCCAGCTATAAGCTACAGACCTGCATGCATGCTGGTAAGGGTTCTTCCTATCTTTGTTCTACTGCTTTGAAGAAATTATACCTCCCAGGATGCTAGATGTGATCATTGGTTCCCTCTCCTCTGACCACCGTTTTCTTGGGCTTGCAGTAACTGAATGGATACAGCAAGACAAACAGAAGGAAACAGTATACCTGACCACTTAAAAAAGCAGTTCAGACAAAAAGTTGCATACAAGTAGAGAGTAGAAAGGTGGTTACCAGAGGCTGGGGATAGTGGAAGCAGGGATGGGGAGAGGTTGGCCAAGGGGGACTAAGTCATAGTTAGACAGGAGCAAGAAGCTCTGCTGCGCCATGCATAGTAGGGTGGCCACAGATAACAATGATATATAATGTCCATTTCAAAAAGCTAGACGAAAGGAGTTTGACTGTTTTCACCACAAAGAAATGATAAATGTTTGAGGAGACAGAGATTCTTACCCTGACTTGCATCTATTGAACATCTGTTCAGGGAGCAGCAAGGGACAGACTCCCTTCCCTAGAACAGGGCTGAATGGAACCTGGCTACCCTGGCCCTCCAACTCATTTCCATGTGCCTCTGTGTTCCTCCCAGGTCTACAGTGTTCCCAGACTGTCTGTTCTCTGCACTACATTATGCAAATCCCAGCCAGCCAGTATCCATAGAAACCAAATCTCCCATCTTCCCCAGCCCGCTCCCTGGCAAAGGAAACCCACCGAAGCAACACCCACAAACAAGGACAAATACCCCAGGGCAGGAAGGCTTCCCTTACCATCAGATTCAGTCCTTACTGACCTGTCTTCCCACCCTCTGGTTACTGTTGGAAGGAGCAGGTGGGACAAGCCAGGGCACAAAGTTCTGTTCTTTCTGAAATCCTGAAGGGAATATTAATAAGCTCAGTTTCTCCCATCACTAACGATTGTCTTTGTCCAATCCAAATCACTATCATTAAGATCACCTTCACTGGGCATGAGCCAGTATTTGACATCATCTTCATGCATACAGCTACATGAACCATTTTGGAACATGACAACACAATTTCATTGTGCATGATACGATGACTAATTTTATGATTTGTAAAGATCTGCTCCTCTCTAGAATCTTCTGCTATGCCTAAAACATTATGACTCTTTTTCTCCAGGCTCAAAACAAGGCAAAGCCTCTGGTACCACACCCAGATTCTTAAAGACTGTAGGCAGCTGTCCTCTCTTCTTTGGGAATGACACGGGTTGACCTGGGGAAAAACATGCAAGTGTCCAAGTTGCCCTCTTTACAGAAGTTCAATGCTCTACCAAAGCTTCGCTGGACCAGGGCCAGGAGTAACAATAGTGAACTCAGCTGTTAATATTTGCCCAACTTCCAGAGTTTTACACACTTGCTCCCTTAAAGTCTATAACCACCTTAAGAGACAGGAACTCTTAGGTCTTTTCCACATGATGACACCAAGAGGCAGAGGGGCTGTCTCCCCCCAGGGTCACAGTGGTGGTCAGTTTGAACTCTGGGCGCCCAATACCATATCCAGCCTTTTAACCAATGGACACCTTTGGGAGGACAGAGATTTAAAAAAACCTATGTTGAAGTCTTAGATTTAAGGTTTCCATTTAGCTTTTCTCCTCTTGGTTTTAGACACCAATTATAATGCAATATTTAAACAAAAACCAAAATCCACCAATTGAACTGAGTGCATGAAAACATCCCAGACAAACCTCCCCCTTGAGAAGGGAAAACTATTTTAATAACGTGCTTGGAGTTTTCTCCTCGTGCTGGGTTGCTTACAGATACAGTATGGGACAATCTACATTTTAATTATAGTGTGCTGGGCAGGGAGGGGCAGAATACTCTTGTAGGCTATGTGCCATACACAGAATCTCTCTGTAAAGATAAAAAACACTGATAGGAGGGACTGCCTACTAGGAGAGCTGAATGTGCAGAGGTGTGAGATTGTTCTAGTACATTTTGTACCTTTGGGTTTATTGCCATGTAAACAGATTAAATATACACAAGCACACATGTACGTGCGCACGCGACACACACACACACACACACACACATACAAATTAAAGGCAAATTACTGCTTGCCTTTTTTTGTAAGTGCATTCCAGGTTTGTATGTTTAACTCTGAAACCTATTTTTCTTGGTTACTACAACCACTTTTCCACGTTATTGAAACTTTTTTCACAAATGTTAAGTTGTATAGACATACTCTTGTCAAAAAACTGAAGGAAAGTAAGCGTTCCCAACATAACTTCCACATCTCAGCTTCTCACTTTTCTTTGGGATTCATCGTGATTGTGAATCATAATTTCAACATGCAGAACATCCCACGTGCTGAAGAATTAGCCAACAGTAATAAGCCTATACTAGGTTTAGGGTGGAATACTCGGCATTTTTCCAAAGTCTGCCTCACTGGATCCCTGAGAAGCCTGAGGCAGGTACTGTCACCCTCTTTCTACTTGCAGCAGATATCCAAAAGCCTCAGGTAGCTTCTTCATCGCAGGGTTGGAATCTGGGTCCAGGATCCTGACCCTTGTTCCTTACCAAATGCTGCCAGTTGTTTTGTGGAGTAGTTGAGGACAGCTTGCCTGACCTGCAGGTCATACCTCTAAAAGGTTGCATGTTGATTAGTGACAGAGATATGTTCTGAGATGTGCACTCTTCAGCTACTTTGTCACTGAACATTGAGTGTGCTTACCAAACCTCGATGTCACAGCCTATTGCACATCTGGGCTGTGTGGTACAGTCCCCGCTCCAAGGCTGCAAACCTGTGTGCACGCTATTGCAGTAGCTCAGTCAGCCACTGTGACACAGTACATATCTAAACACAGAGAAGGCATAGAAAGATGATAATCAGAATTTTTCAGCCCCATTATCATCTTGCCCCTACTTTGTATTTATGACCCGTCATTGACAGGATGCATCCACACAAGAACCACCTACAGTGGCCTGGGACATCCCTGGACCTAGGACAGCAAAGGTGATAATGATGTAGTCCCTACATTCAAGCAGAGAAGACAGTCAGGTGCCTTCCAGCAGGAGGGGCAACACGCAATAGCAGCCCGGGAACCCTGGGCAGGAGCTATAACAACAGAGGCAAAGTGGGCAGAAGCCTACTGGGGAGAGTTCTGTTAATATCTAAGGTGTTGGGAACACTCCTGCCGGGCACCATCATTAACCATGGGGCTTACTAGACTGCCACTGTTTTGATAGTTAACCAACAACAATCCCATTCTGCCAAAACTTCACCCTTCAGAAGCAAGAAGAAAGGAAGAAAATGGCTATTACACACTGAGTTATGACCAAGTGATCACTGGTGCCAATGAGCAAGTTCAAGGAGCCAGGGGGGACTCTCCTGCTATTTGCCTTGGCACTCACAAGTCTGCTCCCCAGGATCCCACCTAAAGGGCACACAATTAGGGGTTAGGGAAGATCTGCAGATGAGGACATCAGCCCAGGCAGGTAAGAAGTGTGCCCTGAGACATCAGCACACAGGTGGTGCAGCAAATATAACCAGAATAGTCCGAGTAACCAACAGCAGGTCACTGTGATACAAATGGCCCTGTGAGTACCAGGCAGTGTGGGTGTGACAGCCTGGTGTTCTGGAGTCATGTGAGATGGAGCCAGGACACCCAGTAGAACAGAGTCCAGCCACAGTGAGCTCTGAAAGCTGCAGTGCAGAAATGCACATGAGCAGGTCAGGAGTGGGGGCCACTCTGGGTGGCCATTGGAGACCAAAGGATGGTGCATCTGGTGGCAGCACATAGATGGATTCAAAAGGAGAATAAGACAGGCAGTGTACAGTGCGCTGCTACCTCTAGGGTGGATGTCGGAATGAGGAGTAAGAGCACAGGTGGGAGAGTATTCAAGGAAGACCCTTGGAGAGGGGCTTGCTGCCAACAGGATAGCTACTTTACCATGAGCATATCCAGATCCGAGGCCAGATGGTCTCAAGGGCAGTGTCAAAAGGAGGATTCCTAAGATCTGTAAGCAACCGAAAACAAAACAAAACAAAAAAACAGACTGGACAATATCCAAATTAAAAAACTAAGGGTTTCAAAGGATGTCACCAAGAACGTGAATGGACACACCTAGAATGAAGAGGAAAGTTTATAAGTTCTATATCTGAGAAAGGGACTAGTCTCTAGAATACATAGAGAACCCTTACAACTCAACAAAAAGACAACCCAGCTAAAAATGGGGAAAGGCTCTAAAGACAGTTCCCCCAAACAGATATACAAATGGCCAATAAGCACATGAAAAAGCTACTGGGTATCAGCATCAAGGAAATGCAAATCAAAGCCAAAGCCATACCACTTCACCGCCACAGGAGGGCTAAGCCAGAACTCAGATCACAGTGCTGACAAGGGTGCTGTGCACCCGGAATCCACACACACTGCTGGTGGGAGTCAAAGGCTGCATCGGAAAACAGCTTGGCGGTTCCTCAAAAGGTTAAGAAGAGTCACCATAAGACACAGCATGTCTATGCCTAGGTGGACACCAAAGAGAAAGAGAGACAGATCCACAGAAAAATCTGTACACAGATGTTCCCCGCAGCACTACTCAAAACCAACAAAACGTGGAAACAGGCCAAATACCCATCAATTGGCGAACAATAAAACACAGCACATCATTTCAAACAACGGAATATTACAATAAGAATAATACTACCACATGGAAAAACTGGCTTTCAAGAACACCAAAAGAAATAATGTCAAAAGAAAAAGCACATCATTTTTATTTCTTTGAAAAGGAGACCTAGGGTATCCAAATTATCCTATATCTTAAAAAAAAAAAAAAAAAAAACAAACAACTCGTAACAGCTTGGGTGAAAATAGTTTTAAACATTTATTCTAACCAACAAGTCAAGCTGATCATACAGAATCTGTACTTGACAGGTTAAACCCCAGCAGAGCGCACACACTCATAACTGCTTGGTTCCCAAAGTGCCTAGAGCTTTTTTGGGGGGCGGGGGGCTGAGAATCTGACACAAGTGAGCTCATTTGCCAACTGCCAAGCTGGCCCCAGTGGCATGTCACACCTGGTCCCCCCACTAGTTACATAACCAATGTGCACAACACACTTATAACCAGGACTCCTAATTGCTGTTTAGAACATCAGCTGTTATGAAGTGGGGGATCCAGGCTGGAACGTACCCCTAACTATAACACGGTACCCACGGGACAGTGTCTCCTCCCATGTTGCCAGTTCCCAGGACACAGTGAGCTGGAAATTAGAAAGCATTTGCAGGCATGAGAAAGGAAAGGTGGAGGTTTACAGTGGAGAGGAGAAACAGGATGGAACCCAACAGGGAGCAAGCTGGCTGAGGTCAGTGACACACGGCAGTGAGGACGAGGGACACTGCTTTCCTTCCCACTGCACAGCACCTATCTTCCGAACGGCCTCCCTCGGACCACACCCTTCCTTTCTTCCTAACTGGAAGGGGCACCTCTTCCCTTCCCTTCTCATACTTTCACCAGAGGAACTCACCCCACAGTAATTATGGGAGGACACGGTCTTCTAGTCCCACTGTCTAGTGTACAGATGAGGAGAGTGAGGCCCAGCGAGGGAACAGGTGCACAGCATGATTTTAAGTTTGTGAAGTGCTCTGGAGCTCTTGGTTCAGAGATTAGCTCTTGATGTACAACCAGGTAAACTAGAGTTGATAGATAGGGATGGGCAGCTTTGCCTCCTACCTTACAGGACCCCCAGGAAGATCCGTGCAAGTTTTAAATTAGTAACATAAAGCAGTAGCTAAGCTGAGCCCTGCACTGTTTGCTGAATTCCTGATGTTCCAGCACTGGAGTGACCGCAGCTCCTAAGCTAGCCAATCCCTAGACAGCCACCGGGCCTGACGGCTGCCTGTCCCGTGAGTCCAGCAACCTAGACCATGGAATCTCACCACTTCCTGTAGCAGGCTCTCTGCCAAGTCAACATCTCCTGTCCTAATCATCCTAAGGCAGGTGCAAAAAACGAGGAGCCGTCCTCACACGCCAGAACCCACTGCAACTACTCAAGACTGCTGCCCCACCCATTCCTTCCCAGGAAAACCACAACACAGGCTTTGCCAGCACCTTCCCCTCTTTCCCTTTGCATCTTGACTGACCCTAGTGCTTTCCTGTGTGACTCCATGTGGCATGGCTGGGAAATGAGTGACAGACTCTTTCCAACAGCAGTCATCTCCTGATTAATTGGCTTAACCATACCTGGAAAATAATAAAACCTACATTTTAAAACAGGCCTGTTCTGGAAGTAAACATTTTCTCCAGAAATTCTCAAATGAGGACTTAAAAATTCACACCCTGGGTAGAGCCTGGACCCAGTGAGGTACTTCCTGGATGGCTTTTAACTGAACAGAGAAGGGACCAAAAATAAAGACGAGGCATAGGGCCTAGAGTCACAGAAAAAGGCAAGACGGAATGGCAGAGGATGCTGGCACCTCACAAGAGAGTGGGCAGAGGTGCCGAGGCCGGGGGTGGGCTTCAGGAAGAGGCAGGAATAAAGCAGGCCCACGGCACAGCATCCAGCAGGCCTGGGCCCGTTCAGACGTCCAGCTCTTCCTTTATAGTGATGCGCAAGGGGCAGATGCTCAAGGGCTCAGGGGGCCCATCACCCCGCGCACCCCCAAGGTAAAAGTAGGGCCGCACCTCCCCAAAGCGTGCATGGAAGGTGTATAGGTGGCAGTTATGTTCAGCATCATAGAAGGACAGCTCGCCCTCTTCGCACTCCAGCTCCACACGTAGGCGGCGCGGGATGGCCAGGACCAGGGGCGAGGTGGCCGGGTCCGAGGTCACACAGTGGTCCCCCTCCACACCCTGCGTGCGGCACACGTACCAGAAGCCAGAGCGTGTGTCATGGTAGCAGCTGTGTGAGTGGCCTTCTGCACCTGTATCTGGCTGCACCCGCACCACACCCACCCGCCAGCTCTGCAGGTCACCCAGGGCCACCTCCCAAGCATGGGAGCCCTGAGAGAAGGTGCAGGAGCCCAGCAGGCAGGGTGCTGAGGAGAAGCGCTCTGGGTTTTCCACCTGCACGCGGTAGCCATGGTTGGTGACGCTGGTGAGGTCGTCAGACACCGAGAGCCAGCCTGCTGCAGTGTTGGGATCGAAGCTGAAGGGCACTGAGGGCAGAAGGGGGACAGTCAGCAAACCTGATACTCTCCCACCTGCCACACCAGGTGGTGTCCCCAGGGCCCCAAAATGACCACCTCAGTTCTAGTTGCCCTGGGTTGATGGGAATCATGGGTTCAAATGTATCCGCCAAAAGGTACGTGGAAATCCCAGCCCCCACCCAGTGGCCCAGAATGTGCCTTTATTTGGAAATGGGCGTTACTGTAAATACAGTTAAGACGAAGACAGATTGGAGCAGGGTGGAACTTGAACCCACCTTGACTGTGCCCTTATAAAAAGGGGAATGGAGACAACACGAGGGGAAAAGCCATGTGGCAGAGGGCAGAGGGTGAGGTGCTACAGCTGCAGGCCAAGGGCAGCCAGGCCTGCCAGCCAACACCAGAAGCTACAAGAGACACAGAGGGTCTCTGCCACAGGTTTCAGAGGACCACAGCCCTGCTGTCACCTGAGCATGAGCATCTAGCCTTCACAACCATGAGAGAATGGGTTTCTGTCATTTAAGGCACCCCGTGTGTGGTCCTTTGGTGACCTTGGACAGAGAAGGCCTTTCATCATACACGGTACAGTTCTGAATAGAGGAAGTATTTCTCTTTCTGAAGAGGACAGAGGGTCAGGGCCTGTATAGGAAGGTGGTCTGCCAGGAGCGGCTGCAGCCATCAGGTAGGAGGGCAATGACCAGGGTCAAGGGCCTGCTGGGAGGCCAGTGGAGAGAATGGGCAGAGCCTGGCAGAGTGGAGCTTGGCAGCTCTGTGATAGCATGAAGTACCTTCCCTGGGCGCGAACACCTCCCTGCACCCCCTTACCAGACTTGATGGAACTGATCATCTTCTTCCACACGCGGTACTGCAGGGAGTCCAGGTACCGGCAGGGGTTGATGAGCATGCCGGGCTGGATGGGCTCTGGCTCCACGGTGCAGAAGAGCCTGTGGAAGGAGGACTGGGCATGGTGGGTGCAGTTGGGGCAAAGCACCTGGGCTGGTCTGGGTTCACTGGAAATGGGCAACAGGCCTTGCTCCCTTGCCTCAGGCCTAGGTTTCCTGGCCGCCTTCCCCAAGACAAACCTGGATTGGTCCAGGAACCGACTGAGCTGCCACACCCTTCAGGATTCAGTAGGAGGGCTCATCCCGCCCCAGCTGGGAGAGATAGAAATAGGAGGTTCTCCAACACGGCTGCCATCCTTGTGGACAGAAATCACACTTACACATCTGCTTGTGGGATGTGTAACAAATTGGAAGGGACCTTAACAGTGCTCTACTCCAACAAAACCAAGAGGTCACAGTCCTTTGCTTGAGCACCGCTGGTGACAGGGAACTCACTACTTCCCCTACTTCCCAAAGCCCTCTTTTTTATCTTTGGACAGCTCAGACAGGGACATAGTTCTTAATTATTCATCCCAGAGAACCCAAAGCCATCAAGGCACACGAGTGTGCAGGACAAGGGCCTGTCCTGAAGCTCTCAAGGGAGGAGGCTGGTCAAGAAAGATGTCTAAATGTTAGGTGGCCACAGAGAAGCATGAGCAGATGCATGCTGCTCTCCCTCCCCTCACAGTGGCTGGAGACCCTCCATGCCAGCCAGAATTGGAGAGCTTCAAAGAAAGGTCTCTCCATCTGGCAGTCCCCACCATGCCCTGCAGATCCCACCAGCTGGCTGCGTTACCTGCCTGGCCCTGGAGCCACTGGATTTTGCACCTTTGGTGTTTCTGCCTGCTCTTCCCCTCCCCTCTACCAGACTTGGCAACTTACCGGCGCTTTCGGCTCTTGTGTTTCTGAAAGACACAGACACAGAGAAAGCATGATAAGTTTCTGACCTCAAGAGGAGCCATGCACCCCATGTTTATGGATCAGAAGACTAAATATTGTTAAGACATCCATTCTCCTCAAGCTGATCTAGGTATTCAGCAGAATTCCTTTCAAAATCCCAGGTACTTTCTTTGTAGAAACTGACTCTAAATTTCATATGGAAATTCAAGGAACCCCAAAGAGCCAAATAATCTTTAAAAAGAAGAGTAAAGTTGGAGGACTCACACTCCCCAATTTCACAGCTTATTATAGAGGAACAGTAGTCAAGACAGTGCAAGACTAACATGTGGACAGACGGGGAGATCAATGGAAGGAACAGAACTGAAAGTCCAGAAGTAAACCCTCACATTCACTGTTAGCCAATTATCTATGAGGGCAGCAAAATCATTTAAAAGAGGAATGGTCTTTCCAACAAATTGTAAAAATTTTTAAAGTACACACTAACATGTCAAAGAATAAAGGTGGACCCTAACTTTATGCCATATTTTAAAAAATGACATAAAATACATCAAAGGCCTAAATATAGAGCTAAACCTGAGAAAGAACTTGTGCCTAGAACACAAAGAATTTTTAGAACTGACAAAGAAATGACCTAATTAAAAAATGTATAAAAAAGTAGAATTGATACTTCTCCAAAGAAGACCTACAAATGACCAATAAGCACATGAAAAGATGCTAAATATCGTTAGCCATCATGAAATGTAAATCAAAATAATGAGATACCACTTCAAACTCAATGGTATGGATACTTATATATATATATATATATAAGAGTTGGCAAGGATGTAGAGAAAGTAGAATCATTATTCACCGCTGATGGGAATATAAAACAGTGCACTTGCCTTGCAAAAGAATCTGGCAGCTCTTCAAAGGGTCAGAGTTACCTCCAAGAGAAATGAAAACATGTGCATATAACTGGTATATTAGCTGGGTGTGGTGGCCTATGCCTGTCATCCCAGTGACTTGGGAGGCTGAGATAGGATCACAAGTTCAAGGCCAGCTTCAGCAAGTCAGCTAGACTCTGCCTCAAGATTGAAAAAAAAAACAAGCACTAGGGATGTAGCTCAGTGGTAAAAGCACCCTGGGTTCCACCCCCAGTACAAAGCAAACCAAAACCCTGGTATATGAATGTTTATAGCCCCATTCCCTACAAGAGCAAAAAGTAGAAACAACCCAAATAATCACAAATTGATGAACAGATAAAATGTAATATACAATGGAATAGTATCATTCGACCATAATAAGGAAAGAACTATTAGATGCTAAGACATGGATGAAGTTTCAAAATATGCTGAGTGAAAGAAACCCATCACAAAAGGTACATATTATATGACTCCATTTATGTGAAATGTGTAGAATAGGCAAATTAGGTAGACAAGAGAGACTGGTGGCTGAAAGGCACCAGGACAGGAGGAATAGGGGAGTGACAGCTGAAGGGTTTGGAGCTTCTTTTTGGGTGGATGAAATAAATCTGAAATACAGATTGTCATGATGGTGGCACAACCATACAGTGCTGAAATCCCTGAACTGTATGTTGTAAATGAGTGACAAGCTGGGTATAGTGGTGTGGGGCTGTAGTTCCAATGACTTGGGAAGCAAGAAGGTCACTCGAGCCCAGCAATTTGAAGCCAGCCAAAGCAAGAGTGAGATCCTATCTTTTAAAAAACTAAATAACAACAACAACAAAAATAGGTGATTTACACAGTGCAATATATAAATTATATCTCAATACAGCTGTTATTTAGAAAAACAAAATCATAAACCAAAATCATTGGCAGGATGATGATTTCCTTACAGAATCGTCAAGGAAAGAACCAATTTAAATCCATTGAGTGATTCTGTAATCAGTGCCCTCTGGAGACAAAGCATATCATGGCTTGACATGAGGTGGTCAACCCACAAAGGTCCTCCCAGGATGGGACACACTGCTGGAACACAGTATTTGCCCCCTGTTCCAGAAGGTGAGCTGTTGTGAAGAGGATAGCATGTCGTCCTGATCATCCTGATTTACAAACCAGCCTTCAAGTAACAGAAACTTCTCTGTGGGGCCCAAGGATGCAATCAACCAAAGTGAGAAAAAATAAACTCAATGGCATTTGTTTTTTTAAGTGAGAATGGAATCATTCTCAAGAGAGAACAAGCCATATTTAAATATAAAAAAAATCTGATTTTGAAAGACCCCGTTTACTGGGGGTAGAGAGAGAAGAAACCAAGGATGGCACAAAAGCAAAGAGAACAGGGAGAGCGAGAGAGAGAGAGACAGGGAGGGCAGGGGAGAGAAGAGGCTGGAGACAGCACCCCCTCATGCCCCTGGCCTCTGACAAGCAGCACACCGATGCCGTCAGCCAGGAGGCCACAGGAAGACTGGCATGGTGGGGCTGGTGACCATGGTTCTCTGGTCCCTGAATATCTGGCCCCATTAAAGAACGTGGCGGCCGCGCTCCTCACCATGAGAAAAGAGACATCGTCTTCCTTCAGTTCCATCTGCAGCCGCTCGATCTCCTGGGCCAGCACCTCCGTCTCTTCTGTGAGTTGCTTCATCTTCTCATCGGCCAGGAGCTGCTTCTGCCTGGTCTCCTGGGCCACAGCGTCCAGAACAGCCTGCTCCTCCACCCTCAGGAACTCACGGAGCTTGTCGAACTCCTGCCGGATGCGACCTTCCAGCCACGCAGCCTCCACCTGCAGCAGAGAGCAGAGTCAGTGACTCAGACCTGGGGAGCCTCTGCTGTCCCCGAGCTGGTGACCTTCAGACTTTCAGAAAGAATCCTATGTAGAACCTTAGAGATGAAGCATCGATGCAAGACTTGACTAGCACAAATTTATAAGTTTAAATTTCAAATGGGAGGGCATAGAAGCTGTTTTGATAACTTTTTAGAAATCTCTGTTCAAGCACGGTGGTGCATGCCTGTAATCCCAGTGATCTAAAACACTGAGGCAGGAGGGTTTCAAGTTCAAGACCAGCCTCAGCAACTCAGCAAGGCCCTAAGCAGCTTAGTGAGACCCTCTTTAAAAAAAAGAAAAAGAAATCATTGCTTATTGATGATAACCCTAGTCCTGCAACCTCCTCACACACAACAGTCTGTATCTCATTTGGATTCTCAATAGCATGGAAAACCCTATGTGATAGAATTACCCTATGTGTGAATTATTTCAAATAGCAAAAATTTTTAAAACTTGTTTGCCTTCAAATCTTTTGCCCTTAAATATGTCTGATCCAGAGGTTTACTAAAACAGTGGGAAGTATTTAACACTCAATCATAAAAATGTGGATATTCTAAATCATAATCACAAAAAATATTAAGAAAATGAGACCCAAACCATACAAATACTCAGAGAAAAAGCAAAGAAATACTTCTTGCCTGAGAATAAGAAAGAAATTGCTTAGCATAATGTGAAACAAAAAAGACTCAAACAATGAGATAAATGAATGTATATAAAAGATAAGCTTTAAATGGCAAGACCTTATAAGCAGGGTTAAATACATGCATGTAATTCCCAAATGACTACTATATAAATGACCTCCCCCCCAAAAAAACCCCTGAAAATAATTCATTGAAAAAGAAATGACAAACTGGGAAAAATGTTTGCAATATATTCAACAAACTAGTATTAGTCTTAATATACAAAGCACTCTAAAAATCCAATGGGAGAAAAGACAAATATTCCAAGAACAAAAAAAGGATATGAATTGGCATTCACATCATTCACAGAAGAAATCTATACTGTGAAAAGATGGGCAAATGAGAACAGACCTCCTAAGAAGAGTTGACTCTACTGATTCTTCTCACACAGGACAAGAAAGGATGGAGCAAAGAGGAAAATTTGGCAAGAGCCGAGGCAACACTAGCCACTGTCACACCGGCAGGGACAGCCTCATGGTAAAGGGGTAAACGACAGAATATATACTCAGTGACTTGGATTCAAAGAATTTAACGGGAAAAGCACCCATCCAGCTAGAACTCTGGAGGCCTCAACCTGACCACCTTAAGAACCCTGGCCTCCACAAGAAGCCTAAGAGCTCTCTGCTGCCTGGCATAGAGAGATGGATGCACCCCCCTTTCCCCCAGTCCAGCCCCACACCCACAAATGTAGGTATTCTGATCATGGAAATGTACAGGGAAGCATTCCCCTGGTGAGCCAACTCCCGGGGGGTAACAGGCACCTTGTTTCCCACCTTTAGAATGCCCAGCAATCTCTCTTAGGATCTAGTAATATAGCTAATACATGTGCAATGTCTAGCTGGTATGGCAATGCTCTGAGAAGCCTCTGTGTTAGAGGCTCATCAAACCTCGACCTTGATTGCAGGCACATCGTTCCTAGGAATAAAGGAACTTATTTGCTAGATAACTACAATGTTTCACCAAGCTCTGCTGCTCCTGGAGCTGCCCGCCTAACAGTAACTTCAGACAATGGACCTTCTTGAGAACTGCACAAAGCTCCTACATTGCATACTATAACTGTAAAATATAACTGCAGAATAAGCAACCTTACTGATACTCTAAACAATAATGTAGTTATGGTACTAATGACCAAACATTATTGGTATAAATAAACACTACCACTTGGACACCTTCCCTGCCTCTGTACCTCGTCTCTGTGTCTCCCTTTATTATTTCTTTACACACAAAACCAGCCAAACAGCTTTGGCCATGACGACATGGGTTACAGGGCAGAAATGAAGCCTGATGACTCCATGACAGCACCAGAAGAACACCACAAACGGTGTCCTCTAGCAATGGCAGGCTGCAATCTCATTTGTGGACTGGAATCTCAAGTCTGTACTCATGGCTCTGATCTAAGATGATCAAATGGTGCCACTCTGTCAACTCAGCTTCTTGGTCTCCAAAACATGACAAACGTTGAATGGCCTCTCTCTGTGGGCACTCAGATGCATTACCTTATCTCAAAGTTTCACAAAAATCCTAGGAAGAGGGAATTTCTTTCTACAGGTGAGTGCATGAGTTTGGTGGGGGCCTAGACACAGGATTGGATTTACAAGGTCAGCCTGCAGCTTACTACCCTGGCCTCTGTATTTCACAGCCCCGACTCCTGCTCTGCTCCTCCAGCTTGGGACAGGCTGGTTTCTGACTGTCTCGCTGACCCTGGCTCTGGTCTCTCACCTTCTGAGAGATGACTGCTTCTAGTAATTACCACTCAGCTGCACTCATCTCAGCCACAGCTGACACACCTGGTTTGGGCTGCTGCGCACTACAATGCCTGAGTGGCCAAGGACTGGGCTAAGGGAAGCCTCCTAATATCTAGCCATGGAACCAGCCACAAGCTTATTACTGATCCTCTACAGGTGCCCAGAACTTCCAGACATTGGGAATGTGCTCACTTTCCTTGTATTTTGATGAGAGGGGACAAACTAGAAAACAAGATAATGAAGTGTCTTGAAGAAAATGAGAGAGACTAAAGCAGGGTAAAAGGGAAGGGCTAGTCTGGGTAGCAGCAGGGAAAGCTTCCCAAGGGATGTGTAAGCTGAAATTTTAAAGGCATCTTTGACTATAGGGCCAGGGGAACAGCTTTAGCTCATTTAAGGGACAGAGAAGGCCACAGAAGTGGCAGAAGCACAGAGCACCAAGCCACAGAACAGCAGATGAACTTGGGGCAGGCAAGGAGCAGATGACAGCCTTGGCCATGGGAAGGAGTCTGGACCGCAGTCTGGGGCACGAAACTACACTAGGCGATTTTAAGCAGAGGAGGCACAGCGATGTGCTTGGAGAGTGGAAAGAACAGAACAAAGAACAGAAAACCAAGAACAGAAGCAGGGAACAGGCCAGGAAGGAGGCGCAGCAATGCAAGTGGAGTTCGATGGACATGTATGGTTCAGAGACAGGGAACAGGGCTGTGGTGGTGGATTGGACACGGCACTGAAAGGACACCAGGAATCACAGGAGCCCAGTCGGTGGGGGCCTGCATGGAGTGAATGGTGAAATGCAGCACACACTGAGGTTATTCTTAAATGACAGTGCAGTGGCATGGGTGGCTTCTTAGGCCATGCCTGTGCTGCTGGCGTGCCATGCCCAGGTCTTCAGTGAGGCAGTGTAGCCCAGACAGCAGCTGAGAGCAAGGCTATATGAGACTTCCAAATCCACAGCTAGCCCACAGGCAGCATCAACAGAGCCAAGGCCAACCCTCCCCTGCTTCTCCGTGGCTGCACGCTGGGTCCAAGCACTCACCTGATTGTGCTTGGCGATGGCCTCGTAGGAGCGTCGCATGGCCCAGAAGGCCTTGGCTTTCTCCCGCAGCGTGCACTCCATGTTTCTACACTTGGCCTGATGTGGGGAATGAGAAGAAGGCAGGGAGGCAAATTAGGACTGGAGGCCAGACAGGGAGGACAAACACCACATTTATAACTGGAATTCCACTTTGACAAGAGCATGAAAACAGCATTTACTAAACCTGGTCCATGCCAAGCCCTTGGGGCACAGCTGAATGTTAGTCCTGATCTCAAATCATTCCTTTATAATGCTAAGGGCCCTCACTGTCCTGTAGCCCAGCTCCTTTGTCCTATGCCTGGTACAGGGAACAGGACTGAGGAGGTAGAGGGGCCTGTTGTCTCTCAAGCTGGCCATAATGCAGCACAGAAGGGTATCCTGCTCAGCCTGGGACTGGTCCAGGCTGAGCTCTGAGTCCCTGAGCTGTGGGGATAAGACAGGGGGAGGGACCACAGGCTCCCTTTGAAATTTCCCAGACTGTACTGGTCTGAAGTCACTAACCTTAGGGGGTCTGACCTGACCCCCTTATTTCCCATCAAATGAAGTTATTTCCCATAAGGCCTTCTCTAAACACTTCCCTCCAGACCCCTCCTTCTCCTGATATTCTCATATTGCTTAGATCACGTGACAGACTTTAATTATCAAATTCAAATATTTATCTCTTCAGTAGTTTTGTTTTTTAAATTTTAATTATTGCTTCTGAACTTTCTGGACTCCCTGAAGAACACTGTGAATTTTAGGTTGGATTCCTACCTTTTCATCTACATTGTGAGAAACCTTTTCATATATTTTCTTTTGGAAAAATAGTAAATATTCTAATAATAATAATCTAATATTACTAATATTAGATTAATTCTAATAAAAATAATAATGATTCTAATAATAGTACTGGTAAATTACCATCACCATTTATGGAGCACCTACATGTAGCAGGGACAGTGCTAATTACTTAATACCAGTTTCCTACCCGATAAGAGACATACCACTATGGAGCTCATGGGTTGACAAATCAGTGCATGTCAAGGGCTGAGAAACGGGCAGGCACACAGTATGTCCTGCAAGGTCTAGCTCTTAGTACCAATAAGTGCCACTTGTGAGCCAAGAAATTCTCCTATCAGATGTTTCAGGTTTCTTAATGTACAGCATAAATGCTAAGACAACCTCATCTAGATCTCATCCTTATCCAACTCCAATTTGTTTTCCAGATCTTTCTTCCCCCTTGATATGCAGACTCATCACACAATAGGTGTTTACCATGGTACCTACTGCTAGGACCTCTTCATTCAAGAGCCACAGTGGGCAATTGAGACTCCCTCTCTGCCGGGGGCACAGGCTTAACAAAGAGGCAATGAACATCCTCTATTGCAACTAGGGATCTGCCAGGCTTGAATTGAAAGCTGAGGACCCAGAAAGTAGTGAGTAGTTAGGAAAGGGTAGAAAGAACTAGAAGGGGAATGTCTTAGTCCATTTTCTGTTTGCAGTAATACAACAGCATAGGTTAAACTATTAGGAAACAGGCTGATTCTGGCTCAGAGTTCTGAGCTGAGACTTAGGGCCATGTCTGGTGATAGTCTTCCAGGATAGCTGAGTTCCAGTATGGGTGAGGGCATCACACAGTGGGAAACAGGAAGTGCATGTGAATCCTGTTTCTTCCCCTCTCATAAAGCCACCAGGATGGTGGGAGCTCTGACACTCCTATCTAATCCTACTCAAAGGCTCCACCTTTAAACACCAGTCACATTAAGTATCTACCCTCTTAATACCTTGCAATGGAGATTAAATGTCAACCTTTGTTTTTGGAGAGGATGAACCACATGCAAACCATGGTGGGGAGACCTCTGAAGGTGGCTAAGAGTAATTGGAATCCCTTGGTTGATACTTCTCAGGCTAATTCTGAGAAGGTAGCCCCGGGCAGGGGACCAAGGCTTCGGGACCTATGTCAAAGTCCAGAGGCATGTATAAGAAAGGGGTCCAGACAAGGCAGTTAGAGGCCTGGGCCTCCGAGGGAGTTTGGAGTGGGTCTGGTATTAAAAACACTAAACTTGAGTTCTGACCCAAGAATTTTACCATTTTTACCCCAAAGCTGCAAGAAGTGCATGAATTTTCCCAAGTTTCCATTTTCTCATTAATAAATGTAACTATCTTCACAGTCCCCTGGAAGGGTCTGTGTTTGAGTACTTTGTGGATTTGCAAGTAGTCTAAGAGAATTCTTAGTTAGTGTTTTCGTTGAATGAGGAACCAAAAAAACCCACCAAGGTAAGCCCATCCTGAGTCACCTCATACACAGTGTGACACATGCTCTTGGTTCCTACAACATCAGCACCAGCATATGTAAATATGTTAATGATTACCAGGCACTAGTCTGTATGAGTGTCATGGTCTTGGCCTATCGAGGGAAGAGCAATACACTCAGCAGGTAGAGGGTGTATGGGTGCTGTAAGCTGGCCAACCATGTGCATCAACTGAGTTTGAGTTTCTGAGCTCTTCAAACAGGGAAGCTTTGACTCCTGAATGAAGGCAGCACTTGGAACACAGTAAAGAGAATCAATCAAAAGGATCTCTGCCAAGAGTAGAGATTTAGTTTCAGCAAAATAAAATCTTGTAATTAATACTTTAACTGGAATTGTACAGATCCTAATTTTGCTTAGACTTAATCTGGCAACTTCCTTTGGTTTATTGCATATCTGTGATATAGGCAAGAGCAATTTATATGTTTTGTGTTTGTGTGCACCTACGTGGTAACATATTTAAGCCACACTATTGGAACACTTTTTCCTTTAAGAAGAGCAAGCATGTTGTTCAGGTTTGAGAAACACTGCGCTCCAGGACTTCCTAAGGTCCCCCAAGCACTTGTGTTCTTTCTAGAGCTCTGTTTAAACATTTCTGTTATATTCCAAAATCTCCTAAGTCCTTCTGGTCATATCTCACTGTATTGAGGACACCAGGCAAACTCTTTAACATGCCCTTGGATGCCCTGTGGGATCTGTCCCAAACTTCTTCATTCCTCATGTAGAATGTCCTTCGGTCATTGCAGGCCCCAACCCAATGCCCCCACTACTGCTACTGGCCTTCCCTTACTCCTCTGGGCCTTCAGGTCTTGTGAAATCAGTTCTTCAGAGGCTCCTTCCCATGCCTCAACAGACGAAAAAAGCAGGCTTTCCTCTTAGAATGTCCCATCTTTCACTGAAACTTCAATTATTAGTGAGAGTATTCAACTGTGCCTGTCAACTTCACCCAGGCAGGGTGTCTAGAACTGGACTGTATTCTGCTGGACACACTGTGCCCAGCACATTGCAGGTGTTCAACCTATCTACTCTCCGCACATTGACAATGATCAACAGCCACCCAGATGCCTGCTTATCCAAACACAGTTGGCTGCCCACAGCTCTGGGAACAGAGCACCAGCAGCACTGAGAAGGCTCTCTCAAAACCCATGACCAGAGCAGGGACCAAACTAGGCCCCGGGAAAGTCTAGCTACTAGTTCTGTGACTTTGGCAGTTACTTAAACTGAGACTGTCTTTATACTGTACCTCATTACACTGTAAGATAGGGATAACGCTACTACCTGCAGCAAGCTGAAATGCCCCGCAACCCTGCAAAGCCCAAGTTCTAATCACTACAACCGTGAATGTTATGGCAAAAGGGATTCTGCAGATGACGGAATTAAGGATCTTATTACAGGGAGATTCCTCTGGATCATTTGAGTGGGTCCACTGTAATCACGAGGGCCTTATGAGAGAGGTGGTAATCAGCCAAGGAAGGCAATAAGATAACTGAAGCAGAAGTCAGAGTCATGCTCCCTAAAGATGGAGAAGACAAGGTAACATGTTCTCCCCTGAAACCTCCAAAAGGAATGCAGCTGTGCAGATAGCTTGAATTGGGGCCTTCTGACCTATAGAACTACAATCAACTTATGCTTAGATGGTGGCCAAAGTGATCTGTTTTCTTAAACATCCTATCTCATCACAACCCCCGTCTGAGAATTCCACAGGGCTCCCCACAGCCAGCAGGGCTTTTGACCTAGCTCCTTCTCACATGGCAGTGGGATGGGAGGGGGGATCCCACACTGCTCCCCCCAGAACCACCACGCATGTCCAACCATGCAGAACCATGTCTTGTCTACTAACTCCTGACTTCCCCTCTAAAACATGAACTTCATAAGAAAAGGGGCTATCTCAGGGACCTGGGCACCCAGAACAGGTTCTGGCACACAGGAGGCCCTCAGCTGACTCATGTTTGTCTGGTAAATGAATGAGTCGCACCCTGCTTCAGGCGGCCCTGGACTAGACCATTCCCTGCCTCTCAGGCATCACCCTGAGGGCCCACTGGCCTGACACAAGGCTCCATCTGCATCTCCATCCCGATGTAACCACTGATACTCTCTAGGTGCCTGGAAAGTCAGGTTTCCTCACTTCCAGACCCTTCCAGACACTACTGTCTCTGCCACATACCCTCACTTGTTCCCCTGGCTAATACCTCCACAGCCCTCAGGTCTCTCCTGGAAGCTCCTTGAGGGTAAGCATTCTCTATCTCATCTCCTGCAGCTCTTCTAGGACCTAGCAGGGCAAGACATCTGCTAATTAAGAAAGCTGTCATGGAACCTCATGCTTCCTGGCCCCAGGTTCACTACTCTTGAATCCTGGCTTGGGGCTTGGCTCCAACCTGGGGAGTCTGTGAGTGTTCCTGGCCTTGACTCCTGTCCATCTCCTGATCTGAAGCTCTGCCAGCCCCATGAGAATTAGTCACACCTTGACTCATGGTCCCACTACCTAGACCCCAGTTCCCAGTGAGCCCAGCACTTTCTTCATCTGTCTCAAATCAGTATCTAACACTTCTGCCAGTGGGAGTGCATAGGAGTCACAGGGTTACTCAATCAAACATGCATAATGATGGCACTCCTGAGTTCTCTTTTACTTGTCTATGCCAAAATGTGTGTGGAACTATAACAAACTTAAAATTATTCCTCAATAAAGGCACTGCAAAGAAAGGAGAGGGGGTGTGTGGAGTACCTCCTGGACACAGCTTCCTGCCAGCTAACCAGTGTTCTCCAAACTGTTGGTCTGATACATGCATTAGTACGTGATAAAACAAATTTACTGCTTCTTTCCTTTTTGAGTGCTGGGGATGGGAGCCAGGACCTCACACACGCCAGCAAAAGCTCTACCACTGAGCCACATCCCCAGCTCCAAATTTTAGTGTTTTCACATTGTGTAACTTCTTCCAGAGTACAATGGGCATTTCCAGAATTTTACTTTTATTTTTTTACTATTGATACATATATATGGGTGATGTAGGGTGCGACTCATTCATTCACAGACAAACGTGCCGAAAACGAACGTGTTTCTAAGGGCTAAAGTCTAAATATTTCTGAAAAACTCTTAGCTAGGTTAACCCTTATTTCCTAATCACTTTTTCCTTTCTATAACAAAGACTTCTCCACATTACTTTTACCCTGTAAGTTGTTCCCTGGTTTACAGCTATTGGACCTCTAGGCGTTAAGATGGTAAAAGAATGATAGAGAATCAACCAGTGGGCCTGAGCCAAGGGCCTCTCCCCGCAGTTACACAAACTTTGGGATCAGCTGAGGACGGTGACTGAGCTGCGGAAACCTTAAGGCTCTACATCCCTTGCCAGGTCCTGGGCTCCTCTCCCACTTCTAAACTGAGGGTTCGTGGGCTACCCACACTGGTGCAGCTCAGAGGGACCTGGCCACCGCCGCTGGCTGGGCCAGGCCGCTCAGAAAGGGGCGGGGCTGTCTGGAGAAGGTCGCTGACCCTGTCTCCCACTTCCTGTTTGCACTCTCTGACCCATCCTGGGCCGGCCTTGAAGATGGCAGACCCAACAGATAACCACATTCGCGGTGGGGGTCTTGAGGAAGCCCCGGAGCTGGAGCGGGGAGCCCGGGAGGCCTGAGCACGCGCCGCGCTAGCAGGCTGGAGGGCGGAGCCCGGATGCAGGGATGCGGTCCAGCCCGGGCCACCACGAGTGCGCTGGATCACTGGGCGCTCACCGCCACTCTTACCCGAAAGTCGTGGGCAGTGTCCTTCACTGGCTGCATGCGATGTCCCCGGTGGCGGGGGTCGGCCTGGCATGAGCAGCAGAGCAGCTCCTTGTCCTCGAGGCAGAAGAGACTCAACTGGCCGCGGTGCAAGCGGCAGAGGCGCGGGGATCGCGGGCCTGCCCAGCGCGCGCCCTCGGCCTCCTCGCGCAGCAGCTTCTCCACCAGGTTGTTCAGGGTGTGGTTGGTGCGCAGGTCGGCGGGCGACGCCCGGTCCTTGCACACGGGGCAGGTGGGCGCCACTTGCACTTCCCAGCAGCGGCTCACGCACCCGCGGCAGAAGTTGTGGCCACAGTGCAGCGTCACCGCATCGCGGAAGGGGTCGTAGCAGACGGCGCAGAGCAGCTCCTCTTTGAAGGAGCGGGAAGGCCCGGGGGACGCGGCGGGCCCGGGCTCCATGACCCATGAGCTGCGGGATCCGGGACCCGTAACTTTGGCTGGGGTCCCTCCCACCCGCCAAGCCGCAGACTGCGGGGCGGTGGGCGGTGCCCCACCCCTTCCTCTCGCGGCGGTGAGCGGCGGCGGCGCTGGCCAATCGCGAGTGGCGTGCTCGGCTGGTTCCGCCCCACTTCCTGTTTGCCCGTGAAGGCGGGAAGAGCCGGTCGGGCTGCGGAGCCGGTTGTAGCCGCCCTCTGCCGACGGGCGCGTGCCCTAGCCGCGCTACGCTGCGCGCCCTAGTGTCACTGGACGCCTGCGTCCTTATTGAAGTGGGAAATGAAGTCTAGGAACCCCTTCCTTAACCGAGTCATGGAAACCTCTGGCCCGCGACATGGGAGACACCCGGGATCCTGACTTGGTTCCGAAGTCGTAGCTTCCGTGGGCTCGCGCTTAGAGTGGCGGTGCCTTCGTAAAGGCCTGTCACTCAAGCCCTCGTCCATCACTTCTTTTTGGCCAGTCTTGTGGCCTGGAGGCAGCAGGCGAGGAAAGCGGGTGGTGGGAAGACCTCTGAGAAGACGTGGTTCTCGCCCCGGGGTTGAATGAGTGTTTCAGGCTGTGGCTGCTTGTGAGGATAATGACTGTAACTTACCTCGTCCCTATGCAGTGTGAGGCTGAAAGTGAGGTAAGTGTGGAGCGTGCTCCTGACACCAGGCAGGTCTCCCTTAAAGCAAAGGAACCAGAATCCAAGCTGAATTCCTGCCGGGTTTGCCGGGCTGAGCCCCTGCGACTCCCCTTTCCTGCATCAGTGTGATTATTTTGCAGCTTTCTCATGTAGGATGCTGTTCACATGCGGTGCTTCTATTCCTGGTTTCTGGACTCTTGGTGTTGGGCATCTGTATGTCTTGAGAGCAGAGGCACTGTCTGAATTTTCCAAGGATGTTTCTATGGTGAACAACTTTGGAGGACAGAAATAATTTCTCCTCCAGACAAAGTTCTGGCAGAAGTAGTCCCCATTATTGGTTCCAGTTTCCTAAATTTGGGAGTTTCTCTTCTGTAATGCAACCTACTGGGGCCCTCATCACAAAGACTTGTGGGAATTGAGGCTCAGGAAATTGGTCCAGTAACAATGCTGACTACACTTATTGCTGTTAAGAATTGTCCTTTGTCTCTGACCCAGTGGACTCATATCTCCTACCATCGTTCATGAATCTGTAGCAAGCTAACTGCTTGCAAGTAGGATAAAATTTCAAACCCTTTACAGTTCTAGATAATTTTCTTCCAAATTTTTTCAGAATAGCCCTTTCCTCATAGGGAATGCACATCACTGATTTTCATTGCCTTCAGTATTTCTTATATGTGATCTATATTCACCTGGGGTGCTTTGTACATGGAGATACCCAGACCCCATTTCATCCTTCTTACCTGTCTTGGCCAGGAATCTGCATTTTCATGTGATCACCATGTAATTCTCAAGCACACTAAAGTTTGAGAGTCATTGTTCTAGATCTTCTCACCCAACAAGTTGTCAGGTGTCCAGTGATGGTTAGTGGTTCAAAAATGAATCTTAGGGCCTGGGGTTGTGGCTGTGCAGTGGAGTGCTCGCCTAGCACTTGTGAGGCCCTGGGCTCGATCTTTTAGCACCACATAAAAATAAATAAATAAAAATATTGTGTCCAACTAAAAAATAAATATTTTTTTTAAAAAAATGAATCTTAAAAGCAATATCTAAAGAAAGCCACAAGATGGGGCTGATAATCTTGTACTACATTTACCTCCCTAGAAAATGCTGTCATTTTCTTTCATTGTGTCCTTTTACCATTTGTGCCACTTGTTCTATGAAACTATCTATATTGCTATCTGTGGGTTTCATTCTGTTCTTATATGATTTTCTTTGTTTTGTTGCTATTTTTCTCAGATTCTGAGTGGGACCACAAATCAAAACAAAGATGTAGAGTAGAAATTAACACGTACCTTTTTAACTAAAAATCAAAAGTTAACACTAGAGCAATGAGGTTCGCCAGTCCTTTTGAAAATAGGGAAGGGTTATATTCCAGACTCTAGCACTAGCCAGGGAGGGACATGACCTAGGGCATATATTTTACTTTTCTGATTTCCTTTTCCTTAACTGTATAAGGAAAGGTAACATTAATTGCTCCAAGTGTATACCAGATCAGACACTGAAACTGTCTAATTCTTTACATAATTTCAGGTAGGAGTGACAAAGATTTTATCTAGAGATCAGAGAAAAGATCTCTAGATAAATTTCGGTGACTATAACAGTCTGTCACCAACTTTTCTTTCAGTAGAAACACTTTATTCAGAGGTATTTATTAAATTTCATGTCCTCAGTATAGTAACTAAACTACTACAGTAATCTACAAAGTTCTCATTTTCTCTAACTCCCCCTACCACATGTCCCAAGCCAGGCACAGCTATATTTCCAAACTCCTTGCCATCATCTTGTAAATCTATATAGAGAGCAACATTTTTTTAAATGTTGTTAGGGTATAAAGAGAAGAAAGACTAATGTTTTCTGTTGCTATAATTGAGTACCACAGACTGGGAAATTTATCGAGAATATAGATTCTTTAGCTTACAATTCTGGGGGCTGAGAAGTCCAAATTCTGGAAGCATGGTGCCAGCCTGATAAGGGGCCTCTTACTGCATTTTAACATGGCAGAGGGAAGCAGGGCACACATACCAGTAATCCCAGTGACTCAGGAGGCTGAGGCAGGATTGTGGGTTCAAAGCCAGCCTCAGCAACTCTGCAAGGCCCTAAGCAGCTTAGTGAGACCTTGTCTTACCAAAAAAAAAAAAAAAAAAAAAAAAAAGCTGGGGGTGTGGCTCAGTGGTTAAGCATCCTGGATTCAATCCCTGGTTCCAAAAAAAAAAAGTGGCAGAGGACATCACATGGCCTGATAGCTCAGATCTCTTCATCTTATAAAATCCTTATCTAATCTGAATTACCTACCAAAGGTGCATCTTCAAATAACATTGGCATATGAATTTAGAGATTAAGTTTCCAACACAGGAAATTTTAGAGGACACATTCAAACAGAACAGAGAAGAATGTCCTCTTTTCTTTTTAAAGCAGTGAACTAGAAAGTAACTACTGCAAATAAAAGGAAGAGATTGATTACATAAAAAAGCAAACCCTAACTATATGCTGCCTACAGGGAACGCACTTTACACATAACATACAAATAAAAGTACAAGGAAGGAAAAAGATAGACCATGTTACTGCCAATCAAAAGAAAGCTAGCATGGATGTGTGTATATATAGGACACAGCAGCTTTCAGATCAAAAAATTATTACAAGGATAAGGAACCCAGATGCTGAACAAGGAAGGTAGTGGCAGGGCTAACAATAGCACCTTCAGGGACAGCCAGCCAGAGCTGCGGACCTAATGGAGCTCTTTCATCTGTTCTCAAGGACATCTTGGTGGACAGCATTTTAGTCTGAAACTTGGGGAGAAATAGTGATGACTTAGACCTTGGACCTTCTCTGAGGACTACACCATGGAAACATGGAAGATATGGGGCTCCTAGTTGATCTGAATAAATGCAGGGATACCTTCCATGACAAATATGAGTGTTTGGGGCTGGGATTGTGGCTCCATGGTAGAGCGCTCACCTAGCACGTGTGAGGCCCTGGGTTCGATCCTCAGCACCACATTAAAAAATTAAAGATACTGTGTCCAACTACAACTAAAAAAAAAAAAAAAAAGAAAGAAATATGAATGTTTAATGTGAATGACAAGGGAAATATCAGCATAATAAACTGCTTGCCTCCAGATTTGGCTATAGATATCTTTTATTTTATCCATATGTTTTTCATTTCTTGATCATTTATCATCTTTTAAGATATGCATTTGTAATATGTGACATGAAATATTTTAATAAAGGGATGGATTATCTCATAACAGGAAATCTGGAGGCAAAAAGGCCTCAGGGTTGGTTATGTCAGTTCCCTGGATTCTTCTCATCTTTCTAGTCTGCCTGTGGCTCTTCAGGTTAGATAAATAATAAAATGATAGCAGCAGCTCCAGGCATCTTATCCTGATATGAATCAATGTCAAGAAATTGAATTGACCTATTTGTTCCCAGTTATGTCTCATTTCTAGAGCTAAGAAACCTTTCCTAAAACCATCTAGAAGACTTCCTCTCACACCTTATTGTCCCGAACTAGGTCACATGCCTGCCTCTAAATTCGTCATTGGTAAGGGGAGTCAGATCTGTATGATTAACTTCAAATTGCTGGATTGACCCAAGTCACACTGCAGTAAGAAAAGGAATAAAGATATGTAGAAAGGAGATAAAAGATAAGGAAAAAAACTATAATTGTATATCTGAAAGCTCTATGGTCAGATTTACTCCCCAAACCTGTTTTTTTTTTCCCTCCAGGAAAAAAAAAATTTGAGAAATCTACAAATCTTAGGGTTACTATAAATTCACTCATCTGTGAAAACTGTCTCATTCTGATTAAAGCTGAAGGTCACTACACATGTATTTTCAGATTAGATAAAGCAAAAGTGGGTATATTTTAAGGCACATCCCACATGTTATCTAAATAAGAGACAATATCAAACTGAAGATCCCAGGAGAAGACAAGACTACCATGAACATCTTGCAATCCATGATCAAAGTACTGAATTCACCAGACTGAAGTCATTTCCATATACCTTCCCATGCCTACTCCTACAAAGTTTCCTGTAAAAGAAGAGACCGGGATCCCCAAAGCACTTCTTGCTCTTGAGAGAGTCTGCACTGTGCTCTAAGAATGTGTGTCTTTCCTTTTGCCTTTCAAATAAAGCTCTTCTTTACTAAAACCTGATGTGTCCTTCAATACTTTTAGGTGATGTGTCAAGAACCTAGAAGGTTCGAATAGGCATCTCTGCCCCTGGATAGACCTCTTTGAACCCCCTTATGGTGACAACATGATGAGGGGGTGGTCATTGAAAAGTGTTCACTTACTATGAAAGAGAGAAAAATCACTTTTATGCAGGTTTTAGTATTTACTTAAGGGGTGTTTCCCTTAAAAGCTCATGTGAAAAACAATGCAAGAATTTTCAGAGGTGAATTGATTAGATTATGATTGTGACCTAACCAGTGAATTAATCAACTAATATGGATTAACTAAATATTAACTGTAGGCAGGTGACTAGAGGAGGTAGGCCACTGGGAAATGCCTCTGGGGGGTTACATTTTTCCTTGGTGTCCTTTCTTTCTGCTCCCTAGTTGATATGTCCTGAGCAGCTTTCCTCCACCATGCCCTTATGCCATGATGTTTTGCCTCATGTTGGGCCCAAAGCTATGGATTCAGCTGACCATGAACTGAACTTCTGAAACCATGAGCCAAAATAAACTTTCTTCTCTATGTTCTTGTCAGGTCTTTTGGTCTCAGTAATGAAAAGCTAACTAAAATAGAAATTGGTACCAAGAAGTGGGGTCATGCTATGACTAACCTGACTATGTGTTTGAAAAGCCTTTGGAACTGGTTTGCAGGTGGGGGAACTTTGAAACATTTTGAGATGCAAGCTAGAGATGCTTTAGAATGTTGTAAATGGAGCTTAATGGGTTATTCTGGTAGAAGCTTAGAATGTTGTTAGGACTATATATACTGAGCTCATGATGTTTCAGAGAAGAGAACTCTATTGGAAATTGGGCTGGAAACCATTCATGTTGCATTCTGGCAAAAAACTTATCTACATTTTGCCCATGTCTTGAGACTTTCTGTAAAGCTGAATTTAAAGGTGATCAACTAATTAATCTGGCAGAGAAAAATTCCAAGTGTATACCAGATCAGACACTAAAACTGTCTAATTCTTTACATAATTTCAGGAAGGAGTGACAAAGATTTATCTAGAGATCAGGGAAAAGAAATTTTGGTGACTATAACAGTCTCACCAACTTTTCTTTCAGTAGAAACACTTCATTCAGAGGTACTTATTAAATTTCAAGGGGGCTGGGGATGTGGCTCAAGCAGTAGCGTGCTTGCGTAGCATGCGTGCGGCCTGGGTTCGATCCTCAGCAGCACCACATACCAACAAAGATGTTGTGTCCGCCAAGAACTAAGAAAAAATAAATAAATGTTAAAATTCTCTCTCTCTCTCTGTCCCCCTCTGTCTCTCTCTCTCTCTTAAAAAAAAAATTAAATTTCAAATCCTCAGTAGTAGCAAGTCCTTCAGGGGTAGTATGAACATTGCTGTTGGCTTTTAGCCAAGTTACTATGATAATCAGGAACAGAAAGATTGGAAAATCTTGCAGTTTGGCTGTGTGAGTAAAATTGGGGCTAATGAAAGTGTGTTTGTTAAAGAGAACATAACCATTAAAGAAATACCAAGTACTTTATCCAGAAACAATTAGAAAGGTGGCTTGAGGACATCTCAGGAATTGATAAGACCACAGCCATCTCAGGCTCAAGAGTATAAAAGTATAAAATTGTTTTGATAAAGACAATGAGGCACCCTGCTTGTACAGGGCCAGGAAATGTTTTCACAATAGTCAGCCACCCAGGCCCTCAGAGGATGCTGCAGCCATGGCTCCTACTTGAGATGATGGTGGACCTTGGCATCATCCATGTGGTGCTGGATCTGCAGGAATGCAGGATGCTGGAGTTTAAGAGCTTCTGCTGGGATTTCAAAGGAAGGCCCGGGAAGCCAGGCAAAGTGTAGCAGGGTCATATCCCTGTGGGCTGCCCCTGAGGAGGTGATGCATAAAGATGTGAGAAGGAAGCCAAAGCTGCAGTGAAGACCCTTGGGATTAAGAGATGCCAGTAACACAGGACACCTACTGAAGGGAGCTGCAGGAATCAAGCAGAAACAAGCCAAGAGAAAGGCCACGTGGGCATGACCAGCAAGGCCATGTGGTGAAGTTACACAAGCCCTTCAGAGAAACAGTAAAGCACCCTGTCCCCAGATGCTGGATGTGGAGCGACAGGACTTGTTTGTTCAGCTTTTGTTTAGATTTCGATCTTGCTTCAGTCCTGTCCCTTCCTTCTATACCTCTGTTTCTCTCTTGTGGAATGGAGATTATTATGGTTTGGATGAGAGGTGTCCCCCCAAAAGCTCATGAGACGATGTGAGAAGGTTCAGAGGAGAAATAATTGGGTTATGAGAGCTTTAACCCAGTGAATTGATCCCCTAATGGATTAGCTGAGTGGTAACTGAAGGCAGGAAGGGTGTGGCTGGAGGAGGTGGGCACACTAGGGGTGTAACTTTGGGGTATATATTTTGTATCTGGTGAGTGGAGTCAGAGTCAGTCTCTCTCTCTTTCTCTCTGTCTCTCTCTCTCTCTCTCTCTCTCTCTCCCTCCCCCCCTCTCTTTCTCCTCTCTGATCTTCCTATGAGCTGCTTATCTCTGCCACTCTTCCGCCATGATGTCCTGCCTCCCCTTAGCCCTGAGGAATGGAGTTGGCTGTCTGTATTCCAAGACCTCTGAATCTGTGAGCCCCCAAATCAACTTTTCCTACACTAAAATTATTCTTGTCAGGTTTTATAGTCGCAGCAGCAAAAAAAGCTAACTAAAACAGGAATGTTTACTCTGTGCCACTATATTGGATATATATAATATCCAATTTGCTCTTTATTGGGGAAAACATCCGTGAGTTTGCCTTGAGTCTCGGATGAGATTTTGGACTTGGACTTTGGGGTATTTCTGGAACTCTCAAGACTAGGGAGACTCTTGGAAATGGTCTAAATGTGTTTTGCATTGTGAGATGGGCATGAGTATGGGGGTGTAATGTCATGATTGTGATATGAGGTATCCCCCAAAAGTTCATGTGTGAGACAATACAAGAATCTTCAGAGGTGAAATGATTAGATTATGAAAGGTATAACCTAATCAGTGTATTACTCCACTAACATGGTGGTCACTACAGGCAGGTAGGTATGGCTGGAGGAAGAGTCACTGAGAGTATGCCTCTGGGGTTTATATTTTGTGAGCACATCTCTTTGCTTCCTTGATGTCATGTCACATCCTAAGCTGCTTCCCTCGGCCATGCTCTTCTGCCATAATGTTCTGCCTCACCTGGGGCGTACAGCAATGGAGTAAGCTAACCATTGACTGAACCTCTGAAACCCTGAGCCAAAATAAACATTTCCTCCTCTAAGTTGGTCTTGTCAGGTTTTTGGTGACAGTGATGAAAAGGCTAACTAACACAGCAGGCAACTACAGGCTCAGGACAGTTGCCAATGTTTACAAATTGGAAGATTTCACATAAAAATTTATAGTTCTACCTTTGCACCTTTGCTATTTTTTTCATTTTTAGATTTTTAATTGAGATAAAACAGCAAAAATTTATCATCTTAATCATTTTTAAGTATGTAGTTTGGTGGTATTATTTTCTCATTCTATGCAACTGGTCTCCAGAACTTTTCACCTTGCAAAAATTTTCACCAAAACCCATTAACCAACTCCCCAATTTCCCTTTCCCACAGCACCCAGAGACAACCATTCTACTTTTTGTCTCTAAGAATTTGACCATTGTAACTCACATAAGTGGAATTTATGTTATTTATTTTTTTGTGTCTGGTTTATTTCACTTAGCACAATGTCCTCAAAGTTCATCCATGCTGTAGCCCCTATTGTTTTATCATAGACTGAATAATATTCTGTTGTATGATATATGAAATCAGACTCCCACATGCAGTTTATCCACTCGTCTGTTGATGGACACTTGGGTTGCTACCCATTGTGATTAATGCTGCTATGTGTTTGGGTATATAGATGTCTCTTTGGGACCCAGTTTTCAATTCTTTTGGGTATATGCCCAGAAGTGGAATTACTAAATCATACAGTAATTCTATTTTTACTTTTTTGAGTAACCGCCATCCTGTTTTCCATAGTGACTGCCTTATTTTTCATTCCAATTGCTTCACATCCTTGCCAACATATATTACTTTGCAGTTTTTTTCCATAGTAGCCATCTTTTAATGAGAATAAGGTGATATTTCATTGTGGTTTTGAGTTGCATTTTCCTAGTGATTAGTGATTCTGAACATCTTTTTAAATACTTCTTGGCATTTAGAAATCATATTTAGAGAAATGTCTATTTGAGTGTTTTGCCCATTTTTAATTGGATTATTTGATTTTTTTTTACCAGATTTTCAGTATCTTTAATCACAAATCAGTATTATAATGGTCAGTTTGGATGTAATACCTATGATAAAATAATTATGAAAAGTATTGTATTTACAGTAAAACAATTGTTTTATATAAATGAGTCATTGGATATGTAACTTCCTTCAGTAACAACTGAGTGGACCCAATTCTACTCTCTAAATGGACCAATTTTATGATTCTCCTGGAAGTTTTGAGTTGGGCATAGTTCCTTGGTGTTCATTTCAAGTGATCAAAGCTTAAAAGAAAATCCCTAGAAACCAATAATTGGAACTAGACCTCCTTAGGATGGAGTAGAGGTAAGAGTGGGGGAAAAGGACACTAGATATGATGCCAACAGGATGATGCCATCTGCTTGGCTTCAGAGCATTCTGCACTCAAGGTCAATCCAGAGCCTATACATGTATTGTCACCTCTCAAATGCCCACAACTGCTATATTTATCAGGAAAATGAGAGAGGGGGCCCAAGGAAGAATCAGTCCCAACAATCATATGAACACTTCTAAATTTTCAATACCAAGGATTAATTTCTGAAGTATAAGCTTATAACCAGAAGCTGTCCAGTTAGCCATTAACTGGAATGCATGTGCATCATCGCCAAGGAGCCCTTGGGCTTACAAAACCATATACATCTTATTTGTCTCTGATTTTAAAATAATCCATTCCCTTGTTGGGTATGCAGGTAAGCAGTGGATAAAGTGGTACATCT